CCGTGTCCCCTGTTTCAATTTCGACGAAACATTCTACTGGAGAAAAACACCGTGTTCGGACATCGACATCCATCGCAACACGAGGCGAAGAGCATATCCACTTTCACGTTAAACATGACCTGCAACAACTATCAATTCGAGAAATTGCTTGCCACCGCCATCATGCGTAACGTCCGGAATCTTGATCTTAACTTTTATGGTCGTGTAATGTGGCCGAGAACACCCCTCTTCACCTGCAAAACTGTTGTCGGCATGACGCTTCGGTTGTGTGAGGGCATCCCATTACACATCCCATCGAGTGCGGATGTGTGTTTGCCTAGCCTCAGGAAGCTTCATCTCTACTGTGCCGCGTTTCAGGACGACGACACCCTTCCGAACTTGCTTTACGGTTCTCCTAAGCTCGAGGAGTTGATCTTCCATCGATGGGAGACCGAAAAGCTAAGCATTAATATATCATCATCCTCGTTAAAAGTGCTTAGGGTCATTCTTGAACCTTACTGGAGTTTCTCCGGAAATACGCTGAATAAGCGCCCCAAATATCAGATGATAATAAATGCCCCGGCGCTTAGGCATCTCCACATGCACGGTTCTCGTATACGTAATCCAGTCACTATATATCCCTCATTTGATGTGGAAATCTTCTTCAAAGAGTATTCCACCAACATCAACTGTATTTGTGACACCAGGGGCCTAAACTTATCCGGCTACAACTCTAATCATGAGGTACGTTGTTACTTTCCGGCATGTGATTGTTATTACTTTCTGTCATGTGAGTGGCTCTCGGCTCGTAAATGCACTTTGTGTTTCTAAAAATTGAAGTTCTTTTGCAGGTTGTTGACGGAGATGTTGTCGAATCAAGTGTAACGTTTAATAATTTAACCAAACTTGAACTCCAAGTGTATGATGTTACATGGCATTTGCTGGTAAATTTCCCAGGGAGGTGCTGATAATCTTGAAGTCGAGTTTGCCAAGCATTTAAAGTTTCTTTAGCAATATAGTACTTCCATATTATCTTCTTCTTTTTGTCTTTCCTCCATCAGATTTCATTACATATAAATCTCCTTTTGTGTCTAAGAACTATAACAATACGAGATTTCCTGTGTGGAGAGTTTGAAGATGAAACTTGATGCGCTTACGAAAATCTCATTAATCGTCAGGTTGCCTTATCTTGATTTGACTCGCCAAGTTTTTCGATTTGACAGTGGCCGTAATTTATATGTCTTACTGCTATAGTCAATGCATTTTGTCTTGCTTATTTTTTTCTACTATACTATTTTGTGGGCGATAAAAGATACAGACAGACACTGAGGCATGAAATGAAGAGGAAGAGGATCGGGCGTGTGCGTGATAATGATTCATAAGTACTCTTGCTAATGTATATCAGAGTGTTGCTGAACTTCTTATATAACAAAGTTTGTATCTAACTTTCTCTGAATACATAATTTCACAAAATGCATGCTGAAGTTATCCTCAGTCGATATCTACGTAGTTATTCAAATTGGCGTTGTTGATTGGAGTGATGAAGGAAAGAAAGTTTGTCGTTTATCAAGTTTTCATTCCAAGCTCCGCTAACCCTAATGACATCCTTTACTCGGTCAATTCCGAGTATCGGTTGAGAGAAGGATTTAAAATGTCGAAAACGAGGAATCCATGGATCTGAGTAAATTTTTATGAAACACCCCATCTCCCACCTCCATCTCATACCTGCTCGCACTGCCTCACGTCCCCACAAATGCTTTTCCAAATGTAAGACGATCCCGCCTGGTCCCTGGCCTCAAGGAAATTATTGGAAGGAAAATACTTAGACTGAACTCTAGCCACAAGGAAAATACAAAGTTTATTTTGAAATATTATACTAACAAACAACAGTCTCACTATCAAAAGTAAGCTTAATAATCATCTTCAATCTTTTTTATTCATCCTACTACCCATACATCCTTCTCACTTCTCAGCATTCACTTCTTGTTATTGCACAATCAATACTTTTACAAGTACAAAGAAAATTAATTGACTTTGGCAAAACTGAACCACAAAACATCATTAAATCTCATCAGTACTCTACATCTCATCTACACAATGACATAAAGCCACCATTATTACAACCATATAATAGTAAAAAAATAGAAAAAAAAAAAATTTACTGATACTAAGGTTATAGGTTATAGGTTGTTAAAACTGTCATTTCTCTCTGTGTATAGCAGTCTCACCATACTCATCTATAATAAGCTTATTATATAGCCAAAAACAAAAATCAGAAAAAATAATAATAACCGAGCGGGCCTCAAAACCCGAACAACTTGAACGAATTTTCCAACAAATAATCCAACGTGCTCGGCGCAAACTTCCTTGCAAACAAGAAACACAATGTCGTGGGCTGATTGTTGTACAGGCAACCCGTGCCCCCTATCAGAATCTTCCGGAAGAACTCCTCATTCAAGTCCCCCCTCCCAAAAGTTGCCGGGTGGGCCCCACCCCTCGACCAGTCGACCCACGTGAGACTCCTGTTCGCCAGCTGGCGCGGGGACTCGATCGTCAGCATGGTCGGAAAGTAATGCTCGTCCACGTAGCAAGCTGGCCGGCAGAACTGCTCAAATTTCGGGTAATAAACCGAGTCTCGAACAATACTTACGGCCAAGTCACGACTGATTTCGAACCATTGCGAGCCTTTTCGCCAGTTCGTGAGGTTGACGAGTGGGGCCATTTTCTCGTTGTACCGGCCTCGACCGTTCCCTCCCGGCTCGTCGAACGAGCCCATGAAACTGAATCGAGACCTCGAAATGTATCGGTAGATTATGCTGAAGTTTTGGAGGGGAATGCAGGCTTCGGACAAGAGGACGAACCACTCGTTGGAAAAGTCGAGCAGAGCATTCGCGAGGAGGCGCCTCTCGGCATCACACATGCTCATCATGCCCCACTCAGCCACCTTTTGAAATAAATAAATAAATGAATAAATAAATAAATGTTCGGAACATCAAGGGTAGCTTTCAGAAATAAAAATTTAAAAAAAAAAAAAAATCAAGATAGGTAAAAACGATGAATGAATTCAAAGCGAAAACGAGAAATGGT